GTTATTGTTATTGCATTATCTTATCTTGTATATAAACTTGTGTACCCCATCATTCCCCCATATGCTTGAAAACGGTATAAGAACCTATACCGAAACGTCGCTATTGTTAAAATAAAGAAGTTGATCATCCATAAAGTTGTGTCATCTCTATACCAGCAACTTCTAAAATGCCACTCAAACAAGTCAACATCCACTAAAAAAAAAATACACAATGCAAAGTCTACTACTGAAACCGTTCAGAAAAATTGAACCTAGAACCTTACTGTCACTGGGTGATTCGCCGCAACGGAGTCGCCTATTACATTACATATAAATGCTACAATAAAAACACTAACTAACCTTGATATATGTTTATTATGACAAATGATGTCTAGATTAATTGACTGATGGGTAGTTTGTATCCAAACCTTTAACATAAAGCAGATTTTTGTTAACTTTACTTTTTTTTCAGTGAAGAGAGCCTTTGCTGATGACTTGTGCTGAAGTCACTGAGTGTCTCCGATCTTTTATCTTCCTAGGTGTTGGAAAGGAGAGTAGTGGTCGAGGTCTCTTGGGACCTTTAAATAGTGTGCTGAAGACTTGAGTATTGTTAAAAATACACACCAGTAATAGAGATTGTCATTCTCTTCTAAACATACAAAAAAACATGATGAAAGGTAGTTTAAGTTTCAAAGGAGTGTCCTCTTTCTAGTTTTAGATAAAATAGAGAATAGTATAAGCATTATTTGGTTCTTGAATGATTTTTAATTGCTTAAACTTAGACTTTAAATAATAATTAAGAAACAAATAAATAATAACCTTGATTTCTGTGGCTGTTTAATGGTGGCTGTCACAGATTGTCCCCATTCCGCCTTCTTGTGAGAGGTGTGTGGTAGCTGTAGAGTGCATTGGGAAGGCATGTCTGCTGAAGGGTACTGCACACTGCCAATAAATCATTTCTCCAATCATTATAGTGAAATATTGTTCATAGTAACAACAATATCCATTATGTTACAATTGTGTTATATGTTCACTTCAGAAAATGGTAATTTCGGTTTATAATTAACATAAAGGAGGTGAGGTGATTGGATGTTAGCACGGCTTAAAAGATTTTTAACTGTATTTCAAATGAATTATTAACATCAGATGGACTTATCGAGTGACTGATGAACCATGTGTTCGGAGTATTAATAATGTAATGTACAATACTCCAAGTGCAACTTTTCTAACTTTACTGTAAATATTAAAAGAAAGACAAAATAGCAACACACAGCAATGGCAAAATATGTGAAAATTAACTTATGACATATTTAACATATTGGGGTATAAAAAACGCACCTCATAGGTTGACATGTTGTATTCCCTGGTGCTAGTACTTTCGTATGTGTCGGTTGTTGCTCAGTTGAGGGTGGCAGCTTCTTCAAGTTCAAAGGAGTCTTTGTCTTCAATGGTGTTATCTACAACAATGAATTATAATAAAGTAAATAAATCATAAATTACTGTCCTCTCCACACAAATCATAACATGTCATCAAATCTTGTATTAGCAAATGTTTTCCTGTGAACAAATGGCTATTGATAATGAAAGTTAATACAGTTTAAATTCTTACATATTTGAAATGTAATGGGCTACTGACTTTGCAGCATTTGGATTGAGGCAGTATTGAATGATTACATGACTGTATGAGTAAAATATAATGTGTGCTGATAAACCTAAAGTTGCGAATCAAGTATTGAAACATTTCAGGATATTCAGGTGGATGCTAAGAAAAATAGTTTATCCTTCTCTTATTATTAGCCAAGTAGACACTCTAATAGCCTACGCTAGAGTACAGTAATTAGGACCCCCATCAGGGTGGGTCGGCTTAGGTATGAAACAAACCATTTTGACACTGCTTTTAAGGGTCAAGTTGGGGGTTCGGCTTATCTGTGTGATCGGCTTATCTACGATAATAAACGGTGTTAAAAATAATGTCTACACAAATTGAAAGATAATTTGACCTTGCATGACAATCGTCACTAAGCGGGAGTTCAGTTTGGTAGGGCACAGGTGGTCCATCCTCTAATTGATGTTTGAGACGAAGTTGAGCAAGTATTGACAATCTCTCATGCTTCAGTTTCTGTAACTTGGTGCCAACATGATACTCGATTTTGCATAGCGTGTTTAATTTCACGTAACATGAGAGACAGACAAAGTTACATCCAGATCCCTGTTTCTTGTTGATATTCCTTCCCAACACTTGCTCAACTTGACTAATACAAGCAAATGTTGTGGGGCCACAAACATCCCTCCTCTGCAGGGGACTTGTGTTGATGTGACACACGAGACATTTAATGGCCTGCTTGTTCGTGGTCAACGAAGGCGATGGAGTCGCCTTTGATCCGCCTTTACATGACTGAGTTCTGTCTAGAAGAAACGTTTGCGTATCGCGCAGGGAAGAGGTTCTAGTTTTCCCGAAGCATATGGAAATTACCAAGACCTTGCGAATGATCGCTTTTGAAACAATGTCGCTGATTGCACAACTAAATCTGTCTGACCCCAATCACGAATCCTGAGCAGTCGCACCAAGAAAGGGCCGTATTAGAACAGAGATTCGTAGGAAGATATGACAAGTATCGTGTGTGGGAAGAGAATGTAATGCTGGAAGCTTGGATTAAGATTATTTTTTTCTTGGTGTGACAATTTCTACATGGACCGTATCTTTTTGCATATCTTCAAAAAAGCGAAACATTCTGCCCTCCCTTTTGAAAACACTAAGGACCTTCTCTCTATGGGATATGACCCTTGTGGACCTATTTGTCGTTGGTCTCAATCACAGATTTTTTCTGTTTATATTTCCCTATACAAGGTATCCATTCTCCTCCAATTACTATGGAAGGTAGGTAGGCGTCAGGGTCACTAATAGCACCTTGGTGGCCTGCACAACCATGATGTCCCTTGCAGTCAAGTTCCCACTAGGAACTCCCACTGATTTTTCACTGGTTCACTGGGGCTCCTTTTTAGTATAAATGTAGTGTTTGTTTCTGTCAATATTGTGTTACAGTTTAGGAATTACCGTGCCAAATGTCTTGTGAGTCCCCTTTAAACCAGCAAAATAAAACACAGACAAGTCTATGATATTCAATGATATATTGAATAAATAACAAGCAATGTTACAATGAATGATAGTACAGATTTCTAATGCAATACTGTTGGGTCACAAATCTAAAATATTAACTAAATGTCTATAGTTACCAGAGTCTTGATTCTTCTCAATGTACTGATTGAAGATTGTTGACACTGAGAGTCAATGTAGATGAGGCCTCATGAGCAGTTGGCCTAGAAATATCGATGTTAGCAGACAGATGAATGTAATTCCAAAGCAGTCCCCAAAGTGGTGTCGAACTATATCACAATATATATCTATTTCACAATCCTCAAATTCTCTAGCAGTAGCTACGCCTCCTTACAATCCCCCCAGAACTTTCCACAAGAACTCCGAACACCGGAAGCAACAAACTCCAGCTTACTCTCAACACGTGAAATTACACAGCCCAAGTTCAAGATGCGAGTTCAAATCACACTCAGCACTTTACTCTTGTGTGACCTATAATAACTAAAAGTTAATTAATGTGACATAATTCTGATCCAGAGCGATTAATGTTTCTCGCCAACAGTCTAATTATGAAACCTACCTGCAAGCTGGCCAGTACCTGCTCCCTCGACCTTGGCACCTTGGCAGAATTTCTTCAACCTCAACAGTGGGACATTAGGAAGGGTGGATGCTCATAAGACTCCATTATTTGAAAATATCCCTTGCAGTTCTTGTCTGATTGTAATAAAGTATCCCAGTAATGTAGGCTTTTCAGATTTTGTAATGACTGGATGGTATAGTGACTGGTCCACTTTGACCCTGTTTTTACCTCAATATTTAATCATGTCATAATATCTATTACCTATGATATTAAAAACGCAGATTTGATTTATTTGAATCCGTAAACTGAACAAGCCCACTTTGCCATTGCTAGAAAAATCTCAAAATTTACTTAGGTAAATAGGTATATACAGTTCATAACTTAAGTACACAGTAAATGGTTACATGTATTTCTCATGCAACAATAAAGTTCCATTTGTATCCTCAAAACAGTGTTGACCCAAACATGTGTTTGGTGGTATAAGCCTACACATGTTATTTGTCATCATTCACAGTAGTCACAGTAGTGCAGGATATAAATCTTATGGTGTGATTACCCCATCAGCTGGTACCAGGTTCAGGAATAATGGAACTGTACCATTTTCCCCTTCCCCTCTTGTCTCCAGTTTATTCATAATTATGGGTCAGGGCTTGGGATGTGACACTAGTAGGCTGGAGTGAGTGAGTGAGTATGGTTTTACGCCACTTTTAGCAATGTTCCAGCAATATCATGGCGGGGGGACACCAGAAATGGGCATCACACATTTTACCCATGTGGGGAATCAAACCCGGTCTTCAGCGTGATGAGTGGACGACTTAACCATTAGGCTACCCCACCACTCTGGTAGGCTGGAAAGCTGTTTCTGTTCGTTTATACATTCCCGGTTATGGTGGTTTGGCCATGGCTGTTTTCAGTCAGGTTTCAGAACCCAGTACTCCAGTACTAATCACTTGTTGACACTAGAGTTGGGGTGATGTGCTTGATGGAAGTTATTTTTGTAACCATGTTATTCAAGAGAGTTCTTGCAAACCACTGCATAGATAGGTTATACCTGATAACTTTAATGAAACATCTTGTGAATTGGATGTTTTTATAGGTTATCTTGAATAAGTAGCTGCTTGGAATAAATGGTCTTGACAGTGTGAAAGCCCAACAGTTGCTTGTGTGTTGGCAAACAATTTCACATCAGTTTTGACATCAAAGCTGAGAACTGAAGAAAACCAATAAATTTCAGTGTGTAACACCCCCTAGAGGGACCATACATATGTATTTCCAAATTTCATAAATATAGAAAATACACTTTCTTCACCAATCTTCTTCCTGATAGTTTCATGTGTTATATTTCAGATTGAATGGAATTATAGCAGATGAAAGCTACTGGCTCAGTGTCACCTACTACGACAGTGTTGTGTGCTGCTTCAGATGCTCCACAGAATAATCCAGTATTATAATATTTACAATATTCTCTACCACAAGAGTAAGAATGGTATGACAAGATTTAGTCATTCTGGTAGGTTTGACCTATATTTGAACCGGCAATGCAGTTTGAAGCCATAAACTGAGAAGTATGTTTAAGTTAACTGGCTTTTCCACTGCATGTTGTTAAGTTGGTCAGACCATTAGCTTCTTGTGATAGTTGGAATATAAATGTCAGGTGAAAATTGATGCTGAAGTGGAACACTTTTATGGATAGACAACCTTTTTGTTGCAGTAGTAGTTGCGACGTTTCGGTGTAGATCCTAACACCGTTATCAAGTAAATGATGACAGTGTTGGGATCTACACCGAAACTTCGCAACTACTACTGCAACAAAGAAGTTGTCTATCCATAAAAGTGTTCCACTTCATCATACCAGCTTCTAAATGCCACTTAAGGAAGAAATTGATGTTATCTTTTTCTTATACATTAGCATATTTTAGAAACTCATCAGTTGTCAATAAGTTCACGTGATTCTTGATTTTAACTTGATATTTTATAATCTATTAATAATCAATAACTCTCATGTTATAGTGCCATTCCCCACCGAGTTCTCAGATCTCAGTATTCAAGCAATTAAGAGACATTAATAATTTAACTAACATTTTAACTTTTAAAAGATAATCAGAGCTACAGATAACTTTTTGGGTTCGTTGAGTTATGTACTTGCTTGTGTTCATCTCAATTGGGTATCCTAATTTTCCTTTGAGTAAACAAATAAATTGTACCCACCTCCGTCAATCTCAATTGGGTATTTTGCCATTTTCCATTGATTGTAAAAATATGATAAAGTTTAAATGTTATTTATATTAGATCTGTAATATGAGAAATGATAAGAAAGACTGCAAGTTGCCAAGTTCATGTGTCGAAATAGAACCTCTCAATATAGTTATTTTATCTATCTCCCAGTACGCAAGCTATGATTTTTGTGTGTACGCATGTAATTTATTGAGTATTTACAAAAATTTAAGCGTACTTGTACGCAATAGACTTAATAAGAATTGAGTTTTCACATAAATATTTGCGTAATTTACGCAGATACGCAGCTTATCTGTACCTCTGATAATGTATCAACACATAAATTTGAAATAGTCATTACCAGATTTTACAAATTTCTGAATTCTTGCCTGAATGTTTTGGGTGTGGTTAACTCAGCTCTGGTAATTGGATTTCATTTGAAATGACCAGGATTGTCACCATTTTATAATATGAAGAACTTTTGAATTGTACATTACTGCCAACGTCTTAAAGAGCCCCTGCTTGTATGATAATTTACATAATTTCTAGTTAGAATACCTGTATCTTTTTTTTTTTATTTTTTAGTATACTACTCAAAAAAAGTAGGGGAACCTGAACTTTCAATTTGGATAGGAAGTATAAGTGTTAACAAATGTTTCAAAGACAAACATCCTATGAACTCACCACCATTTCCAGTGTATGAAATAAGCCAATACCCCAGGCAGACATCATGGTTGGTAACTTCAAAATGTTACCAGCCAAAATGGATTTAACCAGATATGACAATCCAAAGAAAATTACTCAGATGTATTGGGACATAGTATCTAAAAATTTGACCTTTGTGACATCTCTTCGGTCGTTTCACCAAACCGTCTGCTTTTGCCGAACCAGCATTTGTCTAACCAGTTTTTGCCGAAACGGCCTTCGCTTACTAGCTTTCACCGAACCAATTTTCTATGAACCAGCTTTCGCCGAAACAGTAAAAGTCAACATTTGTCGAACCGGTTTTCTATGAACCAGCTTTCGCCAAAATGCGTTTCGCCACGTCGTACATCTCTTGGTGATTCGCCGAACTCTTTTGGCTCTCCTAGTCATTCTTCTTTGTTCACCGAACAATTTAGGTCAACCTACCCGGATTTATTTGCCGAGACGACCTGCTAGGTCTCGTTCGCCTTCCAGGCACTATTCTCCGAACCGATCTCATCAAGCGAAACATACTGCTTTGCCCACATCTATAAGGTCCATTTTGCGCTCAAGGTCTCCTTATTGATCTTCAACCTCTCATCATTATGGGATTTCCAGCTCAGTGTATTCAACACGACAACATAGATCTCCTACCTGATCGCCTTCAGTCCATCGTTCTAGATCCAGGGATCAACGGTCACGTTATATGGCATCCCCAAGGCACTCTCAATCTCCTTAACGGGTATCCATACGTGGGCTTTCACCCGAGACATCCACCAGACATCAGCATGGCTCTTTGGATTGGAGATCTACTCATAGGGGCTCAGATAACAGGATTCCTCATGCCATGACTTCAGAGTTGGCGCATGCCTCCTCATCTCTCTACTTGGATTCTACCAGAATCGTGGACCCCAGTGCAGGATTCGACACCTTCCCCAGAGTTGGCTATCACCGCCGCTTGGAATCAGGCACAGTCCAAATCAGACTCAATCTACTGGGAGTGCACCTACCCCTAGAATGTCTGTTGCTGCCTCCAGTGTTGCACATCAACTTGAACCCATGTCTCCTGCATGATCAGAGATTTCCACCCCAGAAGGGAGTGTGGATTTTGTTGATGAACCCAAAGTACTAGGTTGGATAGTCGAGAAACTCCATCTACCTATTTCAGGGGGCGCAGAGGACTTAGCTCAGTTTTCCTCCATTAACAAACAACAGGATTTGGCGTCTGTTACACTTCTAATGCTCACATAGCCACCTTGTAGGATCATACCTTTAAAAGTCTCAAGAGAATTAAGGATGGCTTGTCATCCCCAAGGTTCTCTTTGTCAGTGTCTCACTCGCATGGTTTCCAGTCCCTGGCCACGGATAAAGGAACTGCTTGCCGTTTCTAGTTGAGGACAGAGAATTATCTCATATGGACACAGCTGTGAGTCGTTCTTTTCCTTTGATTAACGTTCTCCGACTAGGTTACTTACATCAGGGGCTGTATGTCCCTTATGATGTATGTCCCACCAGATGTCCAATCTTCAAGATTCAATGAAAGAGGGATGGGCTCCTTGTTTCACTCCATCCCATCTGGAACTCCTGGGGTAGTAGTTCGACTGGAAACTCCCGCCTTCAGCCATCCCCATCTACGACTCTCCAGTGGGTGGGAGATTAGGGAGGTTTGCTCTCCCAGTTGGGCCATCCTAAGTGACCCTTTTGTGACCAACCTCCTCTCCAGCAGCTACTAGCTTCTGTTCATCGGGCACCCTCCTCTGATGCTGTATCCGTCACATTGCAGTTACCCGGTGGACCAGATCCGGTTTCTTCGCTCCAAGACAAGTGTGCAGTCCAGGCTCTCGGTCAGGTGGCCAGCACTCCAGGGTTTTACTCTCCCATTTTTCTGGTTCCCAAGAAAAACTCCTCAAGACTTTTGTCTTACTTTCAACATAAAATATTCAACGCCCACTCTGTCCAATGTTCTGCCTCACTTCAGGATGGCATCAATCATCCTCCTTCGCACCATCCTGAACAAAGGAGATTTTCTTGTCTTGCAGGATGCTTATCTCCATGTGCCCATTCATCCGAAACATCGAAAGTACCTCTAATTCTATTTGCCAGGATCACAAAGCCAATCACCAGCTTTCTTCATGTTCCCAGGATCTTTTTCAAAAGCCATATAGACTATACTGTATTCAGGCACAGAGAAATCCAGTCGTTCTTTTGAATCAGTTGGAGTTCAGCACCAAGCTTCTCAAGCAATGGGTTGGCTGTTGAACATTGAAAAATCGAAACTAACACCAATCCAGAAACTTCAGTTCATTGGGGGCAACGCATCGGGGCATGATCTTCCTCCTTCAGGACAGATGGGAGAAAATACAGCATCTACTTTACAACAGTGGCAGGAACATTGGGGCTCTTGACATTGTCTCAAGCATTGACTCAGCAGGGACAATTACAGCTAAGCCCATTGCAGTGCTTCCTGCGTCCGTATCTCATCTCAGAGAATCCCAAGGAGTTGATTCATCTTCCCGGCCCCTTACGTCTACTTTTTCAGTGATGGCTCGAAGAACAGAATGTTTGTGCCGGGGTTTGTTTGATGCACCACTTGTTCGTCTATGCATCGCTCAAGGGTTGAGGAGCTCACTTTCTTCATCAGCAGATGGCCGAGCTGTGGTCATCTGCAGAACAGAGGTTGCACATCAACGAACTCGAGTTCATGGCGGTCCTTCTAGCCATTCAGCATTTGGTGAAGGAACTTCAGGGCTATTCTTTGCTGATGCAGTCAAACAACTCCACAGTTGTCTGGTACATCTACCATCTAGGGTCGACAGGATCGGCAAGCCTTCTTCAGCAAACCTCCTCGCCATCAATGCCCGATTTAGACATATTCCCTTAGTCAGGAACGTCATTGCAGATGTGCTGTCTTGCTCCGTTCGTCCGTCTCCCACGGAGTGGCAATTGAACCCACAGATCTTTTGGGAAATCAAGTTATCAAGGCCCAAAGTAGACCTGTTCACAATGTGGTTCAATTATCAGATCTCGATGTTTGTCTCTCCGATACCCGACCAACTTGCTTGGGACCTCGACGCCCGGGTGATCTCATGGAAAGGTCTCAATGCCTATGCCTTCCCCCCCCCCCCCTCCAGCTCTTCTACCCAAGGTAGCACACAAGCTGTTGTCAATTAGGCAGATTCTACTGCTTTTGGTCGCACCTTACTGGCCAGGCAGGAGTTGCTTTGTAGATCTGGCAAGTCTTGCAGAACCAAACCCAGTTCCACTTCCCGACCGGGATGATCTGTTATTGCACCCTCACTAGGATCGGTGCCATGGAACCTTGTCTCTGCACGTCTAGCACATTTGCAGAAGTCCTTAATAGCCAACTATTCTCATAGAGTGGCCATGCCTTTACTTCTGCTCACCGGAACTCCACCCGCTCGCTTCGTTTTATGACAATAAGTGGAAGTGTTTTGAGGGATATTGCAAGTCCAGAGGCATTAAGTCTCCAGCTTTTGCCTCACCCCAGGTCGTCGCTGAGTTCCTTCAGCATTTGTGGTCATCTAGGAAGCTTAAAGGGATCACCCTGGCAACTTACCTTGCTGCTGTCAACTCGGTATTGACCACCACCACAGGCTCTAAGGCCTCTAAGGTTCCTGAGCTGCAGTATTTGCTCAGGTCCTTCAAGTTGGCCGATCAATCAAAGAAGAGAAGTTTAGGCCTCTTGCATGGGATTTGTATACTGTGCTGCATCATTTGGTCTCTGAGGACTATGAGCCTTTAGAAATTATAGGCGTAAACATTCCCTCTGGATTATGGTTGCCTTATTCCTGTGGATTCC